AAAAAAAAAAAAGTAAATTTAATATGCAGATCACTATCACTGGGACAATCCACAGCAGTTTTAAATTAACAACTTTCTTTTTACTTTGCTCTCCAAGTAAAACATACCTGGATTCAAGATTATAGGCCCCTGTAGCAAAAGGTAAATTAAAACCCAAAACACTAAGCAACTGGGGAAAAAGGCAATAAGCTGGATTTTCTTTTATTCCATCTCCCTTTACTGAGAAGAAATGGGGTAAGGATTTAGCGCAATATACTTAAATAAAAACTGTTTCTTGTGTGACATGAATTAAGATTTCTACCAAGTTTTACTGATGAGAGGGCAGTTCTGTTCACAATACTCTTTCAACTGGCCCCTAAATCACATTTTAAAGAATAAACACAGCTTTGTTTTTAAATGATTCCTAAGAGGTAAAAATGGGACTCTCGGGTTGCAGAGTTTAACTGAGACAAATGGTGCAATCTTTGAGAGTTGAGAGACTTGGAGATTTCTTTTTTTTTTTTTTTTAAGTCATTTTTTAGCAGAGGCCTCCTTCCACACCATGTCTGAATTCCTTTTTTGAAAACACCAAGTGACTGGAAGCTAAGGCAAGACTCCCAGGGGAAATTAGGGAGACCCCTTTTCCTTTGGGAAGAAGGATAAAAAAAAAAGTTAATACCAATTTGTGTCAAGGCTGGTAGAAAGAATAAAAATTAAACCCTTTGTTTTTACTTTTCCTGTCATTTTAATGTAAGACTGAAACAGACTGCTACAATATTGGAGATTCACAGAGAACGGCATGCTTCTGCTATTAAAAGACCTTTGCTGAAACAGTTAAACTTTACTTCCTAAGAAATGAATATGGAGGTTTCAAGCATTTTTGTCAGCACAACATCATTCACAACAACTTTCTACTCATTTTCTACCTTTTCCCAAAAAAGGTCATTCTCACTTATTAGAACCCCACCACCACTGAAGGGTTCAAAGCTCCTGAGCTCAAAAGTGATCAGAACACAGATAAGTATAATTGGTAGTCCAAAGCTTGGTTTAAATGTTATCAGAGCAAACACCAAACAGTAAATACCAAATAGATTGTTATCGTTTGTATGAAGTAATGAAGCATATACTAAAACCACTTAAGATTGACGTTTTATGTATGCAGGATCTAATGGTAAGAAAGCCTCAGTCTTAATGGCATCACAGGTTTTAGAAACTAAATACATTTTCAGCTTTCCATGGTAATCATCACTCTCAGAAACCATAAAACACAACTGCATATTACACTAGCATACAGTTCTCTACATAAGCATTTTCTCATATATCAAGTAACAACACACAAAGCAATACAGGACAAAAAAAACTACAGAACTTTTGCATATTCCCCTTTCCCCAGTTGTTAGCAGGTAGCACTTTTTTTTTTTAAGAAACTGATGAAAAGTCAGAAATTTTGCATCCAACGTTTGACTTCAACTTTTTACTTTCTTATCGTCTTCTGGTACCACCATATCCTAAAATGAGAAGAGTAAAATTTGTATTCATTTTCAAAACTGCACTGGCATTGTTTATCAAATTACAACAGTAACACATCTATTGTTAACAAATGAGTAAGAGAGATGGGAGGGAGGGAGTGGGGAGCAGGGCTATGCAGACAATGCTTCGCCCCCCCATAACAGCTCTCCTAGTTGGTCATCCAGACATCAAGGCTGCTGCAAATCACTTGTAGTAGGGAAACAAAAGAAGATGTGTTCCATGATTAAGGCAACGTGAGCAATTAAGGCAACGTGAGCAATTAAGGCAACGTGGTATGGGCAATACTTAAAACCTAAGCCAAAAAGCAGAGAAGCCTATGGAGCCAGCCACGCCCTGCCACCTGTCACCACACCGGCGACAAACAGAAATAACATGGGGGCAAGTTTCAGGCTCTCAATAGTAAACGTTAACTTCATTACCCCCACACACAGCTAACGGGTTAGATGACAAGTGTTCCCACCTGGAAAGTCCATTTTTTTTCAGGTTTTCCTTAAGATTATTTAATGTTTGATGATTTTCTTCATATAAGTCCCATACACTTCTAGTTGATATTTATGGGTTTTTTTTACATTTTTTGTTTCCAATAAGAATGAGTGTTCTATTATTGTGTTTTGGCCTATGTAAGCTATATTTTTATATATCCTCCCAATCACTACCTCTCCTTTTTTCTCCCCAAAAATAACTACCACCTTAACATTAACTCCATAGGTTAGCTTTGCTTGTTTTTAAACATGTATATTTATAAAATATGAATGTTGTAATCATATTTATATACAGTCCTTTGTGTCTGGCTTCTTTCTTTTCTTTTTATATTTGGAAGAGCTATCCACATTATTGCATACAGCTGTATATTCACTCGCCCTGTTACACAGCATTCCATCGTATGGACATAACTCCATTTATTCAACCAGTTCACTGCTCTTGGATACGTGGATTTCTTCCACTTGGAGGCTACTAGGAGTAAATATGCAGGGTGCCTGAGTGGCTCAGTTGGTTATGAAATCCAACTCTGGATTTCAGCTCAGGTCATGATCTCACAATCATGAGATCTAGCTCCATGCTAGGCATGGACCCTGCTAAGGATTCTCTTCCTCTCTCTCTGACCTTCCCCTTCTTGAGTGCATGTGCACACACATACGCACTCTCTTTCTCAAAAAAAAAAAGAAAAAAGAAAGAAAAAAGGATTAAAGATGCTATGAGCATTCTCATACTTATCTTTCAGTGTATGAATGTGTGCATTTCTGTTGCTATACGTCTGAGAGTGAAATTGCTGGGGCTAGAGTATGCTCATGGTTTTTCAAAGTGATTGTATCAATTTATATTCACACCAGTACTATGAGAAATTCACTGTTACACTTCAAAACATATTTAAATGCAGTTTTCTGTCAATATCAAGAATTCATCTCTCTTCTAGAACTTCCCCCTGCTGAAGATGAATCCAATCCACAGCAATCTACTTCATGACCCATTACCTCCCATTCTCTGCTAATTAGCTAGATGTTTAAAAACAAATAGTTATTTTTTTACTTTTTATATTATATCCTTGATTTTTACAAAATTTCTTAACAATAGAAATAAACATTACCACCATACTTCAATTAATACATTTTTATTGAGTTTTGCTGAATATTCAGTATATAGAAAATCTCATTTTAGAATTTAAGAAGAACTCTAGAGGTCACAGAATTAAACACATGTAGAAACCAATGCTCAGGAAGGTTGAAGGTCAAGCCCTGGTTGGTTAATGTTGGAAGTGAGTCTAAACCAAATCCCTACTTGATTTTTAAAGAATGTTTAGAGGTGAGAGGAAAGAATGAATCTAAACTATATTCTCTCTCAGCTAACTGTGCTATTAATATTTCTGATGGGTATGCCAAATAAAACTATGATTACTAATACACAGTTATCTTTTTTAATGTATTTTTTAAGTTTATTTATTTATTTTTAAATTTTTTTCATGTTTATTTATTTTTGAGAGAAAGAGACAGAGCATAAGCAGGAGAAAGGGCAGAGTGAGAGAGGGAGACACAGAATCTGAAGCCAGCTCTAGGCTCCAAGCTGTCAGCACAGAGCCCGCCCCACACAGGGTTCGAACCCACGAACTGTGAGATCATGACCTGAGGCGAAGTCAGACACTTAACTGCTTAACCGACTGAGCCACCCGGGCGCCCTTATTTATTTATTTTTGAAGGGGGCAGTGGGGAGCAGAGAGAGAGGGAAAGACAGAATCCCAAGCAGGCTCAGTGCTATAAGTGCAGAGCCCGATGCGGGGCTCGAATTCACAAACCACGAGATCAGGACCTGAGCTGAAATCAAGAGTCGGACACTTAACTGAGTGAGCCCCCCAGGTGCCCTCAGTTCATCATCTTCCTAAGTTCCAAAACTACTTCTATACTCTACTGCCACAAGATACGAAGCTCCATGTTTTCGCTCTCACCTGATGCTGTTCTGGTTCTCGTCTCTGAGCTTGCATATGCCGAATAGCTACCCGAGGCTCCACGAAGTGGCGAGTAGGCACGGCTATTCCACATGCTGGAGGACGAAGGAGGAGGAGATGGGTAATACCACGAGTCAGAAAAGGGTGTGGCTGCTCTATGAAGACATAAAAGCGTGTCAGGCATTTTCTTGTGACCAGTTTTAAATATTCTGTTGCTAAACTCTTGGAAAAAAAATCTTTATCAAGTGTTTTTCCTCAGTGTTCTGGTATAACATGAAATAGATACTATTTTGTTTCTCTGATATTGTATGGTCATTGCCATGGTGGGGGGGGGGGGCAGAGAGTGACAGGGAGAAGAGACTCTTTCAGAAGTCACAGTCAGATAAATCTAAAATTAAGCTACCAATAATACTGAAGACATCCCAAAATCTGGCTCCAAGCCCTGTCCAGCCTTGTTTCTATCATTCCCTACCAAACCTGACTGCTAACTGTTCCTCAAGCACGATGTTCTTTCCTATCTTCTCATTTTCTCAGATGTTAAGTAAACAGTCTTTTTCCTATCTCATAGTATCTATAAGGATGACATCGGAAGAAGACACAATGAAAGAAAGTAGCATATACAGTATTGATGAAAGCCCATATAGCAGAGACTCTGATTTAATATGGTAATGTCACCATTATTTATTTTCCTCAACAAAACCAAATCTACTCCAACTGCAAGTAAAACAAAGAAGCTTCCAAAGAAAAGTGGAATTTAAGAGCAAGTGTGATCAATGCAAAGCCTACCGATTGCTGCCAAACAAATATCCTAGTATTCCTCCAGTTCCCAAGCCAGTCCAGAACCCAGGTCCTGAATTGTCATATCCTTGTTGTCCTGTGAAAGCACTGCCAAAACCAGAAGTTGCACCAGGTGGTCCTAGAAATAAAAATGATTTATTATATACCCTCACGTAAACAAAACATGACCTACAACACCAAAAATAACATGACATTTCAATTACTTCACCTGTACTGTCTATTGCTAATACTCAGCCCTCAACTCATAAACAAGTTGTATTCAAAAAGTATATTCATAAAATACCGATTTATAACTAAGGAGTGCCTTTCCCATAGACGCAGAAAAAAGGGATGGATCTTAGAAGGGAGGAGGGTCCCCTTCTGAAAAGTCATATTTGCCCTGCTCAAGATCAGCTACTGCAAGACAACCCCACTTGTCGGAGGTCCTTCCTTTCTGCATTATGAACATCTATGAAAGCTTCATGTGATAGCTGTACTTGGGTGCCTGATGCAGGAATCCAAGTGGAGACAGCAAAGATATTTGTATTGATTGGGAAGTCAGGTCTTAAACCAAAAAAGCATCCTCTGCTCAGAGGAAGTTTTTTTTAAATTGATGTATAACATACATAGAGGAAAGTGTGCTAATCTCACTTGTATAGCATAAGAAATTTGTACATATGTACCCATGCATGTAACCACAACCCACATCAACAAAACATTTCTAGCACCCCAAAAGGCTCCCTCATGACAATTCCCAATAGATACCCACCCACATCAGAGATAGTATTACCCCGACTTCTCTCACTATACTTTGGTCTTACCCATTCCTGAACCTCTAAATGTAATCATTTACTAGGTACTCGTCTGTGTCTGGCACATCATTATGTCTGTGAGAGGCAACCCCTACTATTGCACACATCTGGTTTTGTTTTTGTTTTTGTTTTTTAAAACCAATCTACAGTATTCCATTGTGTGAAAATAACCACAATTTGTCCCATTCTTATGTTTATGGACATTCTTTTTCCAGTTTTTGGCTATTGTGAATAAAACTGTTATAAATATTCCGTGCGTATCTTTTTTTGTACAAATGCATGCATTTCCCTTAGGTATGTATCAAGGAATGTAGCTGCTGGGTCATAGGGGAGGTGAATGTTTGATTTTAGACAGTGACAGTTTTCCAAAGTGTTTTCTATTTTAACTCCTACCATCAAGTTGCAGTTGCCATTACTTGATACTGTGCCTTTTTAATGTTAGCTCTTATGGTGGTTACACGGTGGTTAATAATGAACTCAATGTGGTTTTAATTTGCATTTTCTTGAAGACTAATGATGCTAAGCACCTTTTCATATTGTTACTAGACATCTGGATATCTTCTTTTATTATAAAATGGCTGTTCAACTCTCTTGTCCATTTTAAAAATTGGATTGTCTGCCTTTCCTGAGACTTGTGAGAGAGTTCTTTACATATTCTAGATACACACCGTTTGTTGGAAATAATGTTTTACAAATATTTTCTCCCAGCCTGTGGCTTGCCTTTTCACTCTGTAATGTTGTCTTTTGATGGCTAAATGTTCTCAATTTAAATAAAGTCGAATTTATCCATCTTGTCTTTCTGGCTGGAACTTTTTGTATTCAAAGACATTTTTGCCCATCCCATGGTCGTGACAAATATTTTCATGGTTTCTGGAAACCTATGTTTTACCTTTTATACTGAGATCTATATTTAATGAATAGATTTTTGTGTATGGTATGAGATGGAGTTCAAGGTAAATGCTTATTGCCAAATCTGATCAAGTTCTTCTGATTAAGATGATTTATAATTTAACCATGCCACCTTAAAATAGTGGTTGCAATTATCTTTACACAGAAAAATAGGTAAAAAGTTGAAAAAGTAAAATATGAGAACACAAGTCTGCTTTGGTCTCCCAATGCCACTATGTTTCTATTTCAGAAACCAGCACGAGATTCACTACCTCACATCTACCCTACTTATTGCCATTACCTAGGGAAACATACCTGTGAAGTCAGACTTAAAGCCTGCGGGAGGGGGTCCTGCAGAGTTGGTGAATCTCTGGTAACGATGGGAATACGGAGGATACTCAGAATATGGGGGAGGAGAATCTTGACCATCACTAAGGAACAATTTATAAACTCCAAAAGCAATAGCAAGTAGTACTATGACGGTAATCAATCCACTGATGCCACAGGAATCTGAGGAATACAGCTTGTTATAATAATCAGAGAAAGAGTTAAAGCCATAGTTTTTTCCAGACTCTTTCAGTTTCTTCAGGCCAAGTTCTGTGTAATCTAAATTATACTCCAAGCCACAGGAACCTCTTAGTACATATTGGTCTTCAGAGGATTCATAGCCTTCACAGCTCACTACAGTTTTTCCAAATTTATACGCAATATCTAAATCAGTCTTACATTCCCACTGTGAAGAAAAACAGAAATAGATGAGAATCAAATTTTTTTTAATAAATACTATTTGGGTCATACAGTTGTCTCAATAAGGCAAAATGAAGTTGGGGAATGATAAACAAAATTCAGAACAATGAGTACTTCGGTGTTGGGGAGAAGGCAACCTACAGGGTTTAAAGCTAGGTAGGAGGTACCTGAGTGTGCATTTTATTACTATTCCTTATTCCTTACATATACACCTGAGGAATTCTTTTGTACATATTAAGTATACCACAATTTATGAACGTTAAGCAAAATTTTAAATGTCAACTTTTGCTACTGTAGTTCAAGATGTTTACTTTAAAAATAGGGGTTCTTGGGGCACCTGGGTGGCTTAGTCAGTTGAGCACCCAACTCTTGGATTCCAGCTCAGGTCATATCTTGCAGTTTGTGGGTTCAAATCCTGTGCAGAGACCCATGCAGAGCCTGTTTGGGATTCTCTCTCTCTCTCTGCCCATTCCCTGCTCATTCCCTCTCTCTCCCCTCAAAATAAATAAATAAAAACTTTTAAAAAAAATAATAAAAATAGAGGTTCTTTAAAGGTTAGGGCTCAAAAATCAGCATCATCCATGAATATCTGGTAACTACGTATAGCATCAGAAATAGTACATAACCTTGTGAAAAAAACTTTCTATACAGGGGAGCTTGGATGGCTCAGTCACTTAAGCGTCCAACTTTGGCTCAGGTCATGATCTCACAGTTCGTGAGTTCGAGTTCTGTGTCAGACTCTGTGCTGACAGCTCAGAGCCTGGAGCCTGCTTCAGACTCTCTGTCTCCCTCTCTCTATGCTCCTACCCCATTCAAACTCTTGTTTCTCTCAAATAAACATTAAAAAAAAATTTTTTTTAAACCTTCTACACAAATCTTATAATAGACAGACTAACACAGACTAACTTTTCAGGGTCCAATCCTGTAAGTAATCTCTTAAAAAACATTTTTTGGGGCATCTGGATGGCTCAGTCGGTTGAGTGTGTGGCTTCAGCTCGGGTCATGATCTCACAGTTGGTGAGTTCAAGCCCCGCGTCAGGCTCTGTGCTGACAGCTCGGAGCCTGGAGCCTGCTTCAGATTCTGTGTCTCCCTCTCTCTCTCTGCCCCTCCCCAGCTTGCACTCTATCTCTCTCTTTCTCTCTCAAAAATAAATAAACATTAAAAAAAATTTTTTTAAACATCTTTTTTAAGTAATCTCTATGCCCAGCATAGAGATTTTTAAGCAATCTCTATGCCCAGCCTATGTTCAGAACCCCAAGATCAAGAATCACATGCTCTGCCACCTGAGGCAGTCAGGCAACGCATCTCTTAAATTTTAAGATATTTAGAAAAATGCAAAAAGAGTTCACACTAGCCTTAAATATTTCCACCTTAAAAAAAAAGTCTAAATTTAGTTTAAATTCTGTAATTATATATTGGGCTAAATAGGTAATATGCTTCTTTTAACAACATTTAAAGAGACACAAACTAAAATAGATCTGATTTGTTTTTCTGCCTTTCTGTAAGTTTTTGGCCAAATTATCTTCCTCTCTCAAATTTCAGATAAGCTGTTTTATTTGTTATAACACCTTTATTGAGATACAACTCATATACTATACATTCACCCATTTTGATGGTTTTTAGTACATTTGTAGTTGTGCAACCATCGCCACAATCAATTTTAGCATGTTTTCAACACTGCAAAAAGAAATCTCATATTCATTAGCAGTCACTCCTTATTTCCTCCCAAATTTTCCAGCCCTGGGCAACTACCAATCTGTCTTTATGGATTTCCCTATCCTGGACATTTCATATGAATGTCTGATCAGACAATATGTAACTGGCTTCTTTCACCTAGCATCAAGTTTTCACGTATATTGTAGCATGTATCTGTACTTTATTCTTTTTTATGGCTTAGTAATATTCTATTGTATGGCTATACCACATTTTGTTTATTCACTCATCAATGACGGACATTTAGGATGTTTCTACTTTTTGGCTATTATGAATAATACTGCTACAAACATTTATGTACACATTTTTGTGTGGATACATGTTTTTAATTCTTTTGAGTATATACCTAGAAGTAGAATGATTGGGGCATTTGGTAACTCTATGTTTAACCTTTTGAGTGCCTGGCAGTTTTCTAAAGCACCTGCAGCATTTTACATTCCTAATCGTCTACAATTCCTGATCATATTAACGTCATTTCTCAAAAGTAGGTTGGTATTTTTTGAGGAATGACAGTAAAATGATAACCAGCAGAGATTCTCTGTCCCCACCCCAAGTGTATAAAGTTTTGGACATTTACTAATGTCTTAGAAGAAATTTATGGATGAAAATTACAATGAATATTTCCAGGCTTTAAAATCAGTTTTCTTTGGAGGATGTTCTTCCAGAAAATAACTGATTTATATTTATATATTTAACTTGAGATTTTTTACATGAACTTCCCCAAAATACTGAATAATATCCCAATAAATACTTGACTAAAAATTCCAACTAGACTGCCATCAACATAATAAATATTACCTGTACATCATAACCATCCCAACCTTTGTTCTGACACTGTATGACTTTTGGGGTATAAGAATCACATCCAGCTGTGCCTCCAACACATTTCAACTGTGGGATCGGATCCAGCCTACGGGAAGTGGTATAGCGGTCGTGGTGGAGGGTAAGAGCTTTTACATCCCGCAATAATATTCTGTCTGAAACAGGAAGAATACAGATGAACAGGTAGTAAATATCCTGTCAAACATAGAAAGGGTCATCCTAATAAAATTCATGTCACAGGAAATACTTTCGAAAGTACGTGGGTATAGAATTCTAGATTGTCACTCAAGCAAGAGGGTGGAATTTTCAGATATCTGAAAAGTTTCAAAATATATACCTTGTAGGTATCAATTCTTAGTAAGACAATGAAAGATATTCACCACCAAGAGAAAAAAATAAAACAAAGAGAAAGACATAAAACCCAGAGGACTAAAGAAAAAGTAATGGCATACAAAGGGACAAAGGAAATCCCAAGGAGAACGAGGAATGAAGACAGCAATATGACAACCATGACCAGGCAGAGGGCAGCAAGTCCACACTGGAAGAGTACTGCTCAAAAGCCAGACAGAAGGGCTGCCAGGAAAATTCCCTGCTGCTATCATACCATCTCTTTTAAACCTAAGGAAACAATGTCCAGGTGGGCCTGGCTTTGGTTTTTATCTGTATTTGGTCTGTCTTGACCTCAAGCTGATCAAGTTCCTCCTCTTCCCCACCATGTCCTGCTAACTGGGCTCAGTTGAGGACACTCATGTCACCCCACAGAAGCACTCTGGCTTTAACCTATTCCTGAGTGCAACAGATAGACCATGGGAAACTTAGAAGTAAAAGACCGAGAACAACCTACTCCTTCTGACCGTATTTCTGCCCAATGTTCAGTATCGGACCACTACAGTCTTTGACAGATACCTTAATTATAGTGAGTCCTATGTTTCCCATGATTTTCCCCAGTGATAACTCCAGAAGGGGCGCTTAAAATCTCAGGAAACCTGAAGCCAGAGACCTTTTTTTTACACCGGTAAGAAATGAGCTAGTCAGTTTTTCATAAACTTTTAGGGTTTTACCACATACATGAGTAGAAAAACTGGAGTTAAAAAAAGTAACCAGGGGCGCCTGGGTGGCGCAGTCGGTTAAGCGTCCGACTTCAGCCAGGTCACGATCTCACGGTCCGGGAGTTCGAGCCCCGCGTCAGGCTCTGTGCTGATAGCTCGGAGCCTGGAGCCTGTTTCCGATTCGGTGTCTCCCTCTCTCTCTGCCCCTCCCCCGTTCATGCTCTGTCTCTCTCTGTCCCAAAAATAAATAAACGTTGAAAAAAAATTAAAAAAAAAAAAAAAAGTAATCATTCAAAAATCAGGAAAGTAACTACCTCCAGGAAAGGAAATGTGCTTAGAAAGGATCATGAAGAATTCTTTCTTTCTCTTAACTGATTAACAACCTAGTAAGTACTTTTTTCTTGCTTACCCAGACACAGATACAGGAGTTGTTTTGATTTTTGTTAGTTTATTTTTATAAAAACTGAAAACATACAGCCCACATTATTCTTCACATGGTTTTTCCACTTAACCAGACATCATGGACATTCCCTCATATCAGCAGATACAGATCTTATTTATACTTATTTACCAAAAAAAGAACTTAATAAATGTGACTAAGCTGAGATTTATCAGCCACACTCTCTCACCAAAATGCAATAAAATTAGAAATACAATGACATAGTGGCGCCTGGGTAGCTCAGTCGGTTGGGTGTGCAACTCTTTGATTTCTGCCCAGGTCATTATCTCACAGTTAGTGGGACACAGCCCTGAGTCAGGCTCCGTACTGACAGTATGGAGTCTGCTTGGGATCTCTCTCTCTCTCTCTCTCTCTCTCTCTCTCTCTCTCTCTCTCACTCTCTCTCTCTGCACCCCTCCCCACTAGTGCATGCATGCATGTGCTCTGTCTCAAAATAGATAAACTTTTAAAAAAAAGAAATATAATAACATAAAATACATATTAACATATAAAATCAATATGAAAAGACAGCTGAAAACCAGTAACAAGAAAGGAAATTTAAACTATATATACTGAAATATATTATTAAATCTATAGTAATATAAACAGTATAGTATTGGCACATGATTAGAAAAATTAATCATTGGACACCATGGACAAAAGTTAACCAACGATGGCTAAAAACTTACACCATAAAACATACAACAAAAAAAATACTGTACAAAAGCACAACAGAGTATGTTTATGATCATTAAGACACCAAAAGCAAAAGACTGACCAGCAAGATAAAGACTGCAATTGATCAAGTTATATTCAATCTATGAAAATCCAAAGTCCATAATAATGCTCAAAAAGAATGCAAAAAACTCATTTATCACTAAAAGTTTCTACCTACCTCCTTTCCCCTGAAAATTGGTAATTAAAGATTAAAAATTAAATTTCTATTCTGACTTTCCACCAGGAACTGTAATCTGAAATAGCCTCAGGTGATAATGGAAATCTCAACCTTATTGAAGAATGACAGCTAATAAATGCAGATGAAATGACAGAATTAGAAAAAAAAATCATCATTTTATAACCCCTAAAGAAACAGATTCAGACAAGGATTTATTGGTTTTAAAATCATTAAAAGACCAGATATTGGTATGGTGCTAGAGTGCTTTCTGGAAAAATATAACTTCACAAGGGAGAAATAACGCCACTTTTAATCCACTAGTAATCTTAGCATCAATAATGGTAGAACAAATTGATATTAAAGAATCTACTATGATGTAATCCCTGAAAGTATTTAACATGAATTTTATCAATCCTTAGGAGTTAACATTCAGCCTACAAGAAATACAAGGAAGAAAAAAAGTAAGCTAAAACAATGCCACGAAAAAACAGAATCTAGAAGGTAGGATATTCTAAAGGACAACAGGCCCAAGCCCTTCACCAAAGCAGCAGCATAAAAAAAAGGATTTCTACATTTAAAAAGACTTAAAGAAGAATACAGTCAAATGTGATGCACAGACCTGGATTGGGTCTTGGTTTGAACCAACTAGTTTAGACATTTTGGGCACAAATGTGATATCTGAATATGGAATAGATAATTAGTTGACATTAAAAATTTAAGATTGGGGCGCCTGGGTGGCGCAGTCGGTTAAGCGTCCGACTTCAACCAGGTCACGATCTCACGGTCCGTGAGTTCGAGCCCCGCGTCAGGCTCTGGGCTGATGGCTCAGAGCCTGGAGCCTGTTTCCGATTCTGTGTCTCCCTCTCTCTCTGCCCCTTGCCCGTTCAAGCTCTGTCTCTCTCTGTCCCAAAAATAAAATAAACGTTGAAAAAAAAAATTTTTTTAATTAAAAAAAAAAAAAAAATTTAAGATTAATTTTGCCAGGGGTAATGTTATTTTTACCTTGTGGGGAAAAGTTCCTTTTTTAAAAAGGGGAAGAGTATATTGAAGAATTAGTGGTGGCCTGTCATGATGCCTAAAATTACATGGAAATATTCCAACCTTAAATATGGAATTGAAAGGAAACAAGGAATATACAAAGATTGATTAACTTGCCATCAAAATTTAAAATATCTTTCCCAGGGGTGCCTGGGTGGCTCAGTTGGTTAAGGGTCCAACTTCATTCAGCTCAGGTCATGACCACCCAGTTTGTGGTTCGGGCCTCTTCAGGCTCGGTGCTGACAGCTCAGAGCCTGGAGCCTGTTTTGGATTCTGTGTTTCCCAATCTCTCTGCCCCTCCTTGGCTCATGCTCTGTCTGTCTGTCTCTCTCTCTCTCTCTCCCTCTCTCTCAAAAATAAATAAAACATTAAAAAACTAAAAGACATAGAGATAGATATAAATAAATAGATCTTTCCCAGAATTCCTCCAATAGTCGGACTAGAATGACTTAGTATCAAGTAATTCTAGTAAAATAAGTATTTGGCTTTTCTAGTATTTACATGGAGGTAGACAAGGAGAAGGTAGACAACAGCTTCTGATTAATCGTCCAATAGTGTCTATCGCACTTGGTACACACAGGAAAACAAGTAACATTTTATTTAGAGTTTCTGGACCTACAAAATCCAAGAAAACTTCCCAAAAGACAATCATGTTATAATAAGAGAATTTGATAAAACAGCTAGATATTTTATCAATTACCAAAAGTCAACAGGTTTTTCTTTAAGTATAATACTCAATTAGAAATGAAAATGGGAAGCCTAGGAGTGCCTGGGTGGCTCAGTCAGTTAAGTGTCCAACTTCAGCTCAGGTCACGATCTCACGGTTTGTAGGTTCGAGCCCCACATCCGGCTCTGTGCTGACAGCTCAGAGCCTGGAGCCTGCTTCAGATTCTGTGTCTCCCTCTCTCTCTGCCTCTCCCCCACTCACACTGTCTCTCCCTCTCTCAAAAATAAACATTAAAAAAATATATTTTTAAATAAAAAAAAGAAAATGAGAAGCCTATCTGAAATTAGTGCCAAGCTACATACATACATAAAATATCTGGAAATAAATTTAGGATCAATATGTGATCTATATATTTTTTTAAATGCATATATAATAAGACCTAATACACTTCCAAACAGGAACCCAATTGGGATTTTTGGAACTGGGAAGAAATATGTTAAAGGTCCTATGAAAAAACTAACATCTATAAATAGCCAAAAAATGTTTAAAAAAGAATTGCTTTACCAGATAATAAACTTACTGTAAAATTACTATAGGGGTGCCTGGGTGGCTAAGTTGGTTAAGCGTCCGACTTCAACTCAGGTCATGATCTCTCAGTTCATGAGTTCGAGCCCTATATCGGGTCCTGTATGGACAGCACAGAGCC